TATCTCAAAAAACCAAACAACAAAAAGAGTATCTCTCTCTCTCTCTCTCTCTCTCTCTCTCTTTCTCACACACACACACACACACACACAATAATGCTTAAAGAATATCAAGGACAACTAGACATGGTAACTGTCTCCTATAATTCCAACAATCTGGGAGGCTGCAGGAGGAGGAGAGTAACCATGAGACCAACCTGGGAAACTCAGCAAGATCCCGCTTCAAAATTTTAAAATTTAAAAAGAGCTACCTTCAGGGCCAGGAGAAAAAAACATAACAAGGAAGCTGGTGAATGCCTATAATCCCAGCATTTAGGAGGTTAAGGCATTTTAAACTTTTTGGAAATCTTAAGAAAAACAAAAGGAAAACGCAGCCGGGTGTGGTGGTGCACACCTGCAATCCCTGCAGAAGGATCATGAATTTAGGCCAGCCTGGGCTACAAAGTGAGCTCAAGGCCAGCCTGAACTGCATAGTGAGACCCTGTCTCAAAAAGACAACAAAAGAAAAAGAAAAACACATTACTTGAATATACTAAAATTCAAGTGATATTGCTGAATTATTTCCAAAATAGAATTCAGCTTCAAAACTTTTTATAAAATTTTTGGCCTTCTACAAATATCTGATGAATCCATATATTTAATTAGATATACAACAGAAGTTAAAAAAATACAAATACCTTTCTATCTTTAAACTTTGATAAAGACTAAAGATACTGACACTTGATAGATAAGATAGTACAATAACACACTCTTAGTTCTAGTGAGCATGCCTCTATAATCTTCCTACCAAGATAGCTGGCAACAGTTTCCAAGTTTTAATTAATGGACAGTTTTTGATCCAGCAACTCTACATTTAGGCCTTTATTTAAATAAAATATTGTGATAATTATCCAGCCATTTATCTACAGACAAGAGTCAAGAGAATGAGGGAGGGAATAGCCCCAAAACATGTAATTTAGAACACTATCTAGCACATCCATAAAGGGAATTACTATACAGATAGTTACACAGATACACAAAGAGGTCCTTGCTATAAATAAAGTAAGGTATTGGCAAACAGTATACAATTATATATACTTTTAAAGGTCAAATAGGAGCCTCTGTGTGTGGGCATATACTGAAGAAAGTGCTAGTAGTTATCTAAGTGAAGACACTTAATTTGACTATCTTTCTGCACTGCTTTTCTAATTAGAGAAAGAATAGTTTATTTTATCCAGATTAAAAAAACTTCACAGCATAAAAACTCAATTTAGCACAAGCCGTGGTGGCACACACCTATAATCCCAGCACTCGGGAGGCTGCAGCAGCAGGATCAGTGTGAGGCCACCCTAGGCTACAAAATGAGTTCAAGGTCAGCCTGAACTGCATAGTGAAACCCTGACTCAAAAAGGAAAAGAAAAACCAAATTTATTAAGTTTACTAATATGAATGCTGGACCCAGGCACAGTATCATGCAACTGTAATCCCAGCACTCAGGAGTTTGAGGGAAGAGGATCGCTGTGAGTTCAAGGCCAGCCTGGACTACATAGTGAGACGCTGTCTGAATGAATGAATGAATGAATGAATGAACGTAAAATAAAATGAATGCCGTATAGTACATAACTGTTTAAGATAGAATCTATTGGGGGCTGGGGATTTAGCTCAGCGGCAAAGCGCCTGTCTGGCAAGCACAAGGTGGTGAGTTTGATTCCTGATACCGGAAAAAAAAAAAAAAAAAAAAAAAAGAATCTATTCTTAGAGGTTAGCAAGAGAAAAACTCAAGAGGTTCTAGAAAAACTACACAAATTAGCATTAGTAGGTGTATATATGTATAAGTGTGTGTGTAATATACCTCTTTATATAGCCAGACTTGAAGGTGCTTCATCATTACAAAGGAGCCAGCTTTCCACACAAAACATTTCAGAGAGAAACATCTTATCCCATGTCATTTAACCAAGGATGTACCCACCTCAAGCAAACCTTGGCTTGTGAATTCTACATAGAGTAATAAGAATTCATTTATGGAGAGGAATTAGGGTATGAACTTTATTAATGCAAGGGACTGATACTTCCATTTTGTCACCCAAACAGAACATCATAAAACGAAAGTTTCAGTAATGAAACTCATAAATATTCATGTTAAATATTTTCCTTTGAGACACCTACCCTTTAACTCATTCACAACAGGGCCTTAATTCACGTTCTTGCTGCCAGGCAGCTTCAGCCACCGGTGGTTCAAGCCGGCAGGAACATGTTAAGGAGAAAAATTCACCCTTACAAACAGGACAAGAGCCAGGCACCGTGGTGCATGCCTATAATCTTAGATATTTAGGAGGCTGAGGCAGGAGGATCACAGGTTGGAAGTCAGCCTGGTAAACAGTATGATTCTGTCTCAAAACATAAAAAGACCTAGGGATATAGGTCAGTACTTCCAATACCACAAGGCAAGGTAGAGTGCCAAGGGCGTCCTATTTTAACACCTTTTCAAACGAGGAATCTTGTTTCAGAAGATCCTGGTACAGAATAAAGTTAGCCAACAAAAGAAGATGTTTGCCTCAATGACTTAGGAAACACTCTTGCTCCCAGCAACTCTACAGCGTTCATACTCTGGCACCCCCACTCTAATTAATTGCAGTAGCCAAGGGAGGGCCAGGTAAATAGCTCAGCAGCACAGTGCCCTCCTACCAAGCGCAAGGTCCTGAGTTCGAATCCTAGTAGTCAAGTGAAAACAGTTCCAATAGCTGGTTAGTCCTAGCAGCCGCAGAAATCAACCAAGTAAGAAACAAAGCAGAGAGTGAATAAAAGGCTGATGCTGGAGGATCGTAAGTCTAAAGACAGCCTGAGCTACATAATGAGATGAGTCCATGTCTCAAAACAGTAAGAGGGAGGCCGAGACAAAGGATCGCCACAAGTTTGAGGTCAGCCTAAGCTACATAGCAAGAACTGTCTCAAAATATAAATAAAGAAAATGAACTGGCATGCAATTTCTACACAGAAATGAGATTAGGCTAACAACCACGTGATGTGGCTTTAGTTGCATCCTTCTTAAAATCAAAGCGTTAAGTGCTACTAAACTTTAAGGTTAGAAAAAAAAGGCTACCAGACATGGTGGCACATGCCTGTAATCCCAGCACTAGGGAGACTAAGGCAGGAGGATTGCCGTGAGTTTGAGGCCAGCCTGGACTACACAGCCAGACCCTGTTCCAAAAACGTAAATGAATATATACATACATTCAACAAAAAACAGAAGGCTAAGGTCAGGCACAGTGACGCAAGCCTGTAACCCAACACAAGAGGCTCGGGCAGGTGGACTGAAAGTTTGAGGCCAGTGTGGGCTACACAGTGTGTTCAAGGCTGGCCTGGACTATTATAGTGTGATTCTGTCTTAAAGAAAACAAAGCCAGGGCCAGGGATATAGCTCAGTAGCACAGCACTTGCCTGGCAAGCACAAAGTCCTGAGTTCGATTCCTGGTACAAAAAAAAAAAAGACAAAAACTTATATTCCTATTTTGTGTCTGTGTATGTGAGAGAGAGAGAGAGAGAGAGAGAGTGTGTGTGTGTGTAATGTGTCTATGTTGAGCTGTCACCAGAATGTATCCATAAAATAGTCACATCAACAGAGACACCAGCAAACCTTAGTTTCCTGTTAGATCAGAGGTCTAACGAGTAGTTAGACATGACAAATGAAATAAGAAACATGATCAGGGTGCAGTCAAAAGACATTTTTCTGTTGGTAAAATGTCCACAAGCCCAGACAATCTCAGAAACTGTGTATAGCTAGGATACATCAGCAAATCCTCTTTCAGCTCTTCAGATTCTACTGCCTTATAAAGAAACCACATGTAACAAAAGGTCATTTCCAGTTAAGTATTCTTTTAATTTAAAACAAATACAAAATAGAATCCAGAATCACCTATGTTATGGTTTGTATCTGGGTGTCCCCCCAAAGCCTCATGCGGTCATGGGGCAGGCTTTTAGGGTTTGATTATGGGTGTGAGAGCTAC